AAGAACACCCTTCAGAACAGGGCCAAAGACCCCGAAAACCCCACAACAACCATCCCCATCTTTTGCTTATGAAAACACAGGTGGGCCATATTTCCATTACGACCCACCATTCTCTCCCTCATTTGCCTATTATTATTCAAGGGACTCCCTCATTTGCCTATTATTATTATTCAAGGGACTCCCTCATTTGCCTATTATTATTCAAGGGAAGGATTACACAGGAGTTGAAAGGAAGCTGGATGACCAGAAAATCAGCCCCAGAACTCATTTAATACAAAGGCCAGGTTCCTCCCAATTTCCAGAAAGGGGGGGTCCCTTTAGTTTGTTACAGCCTGAACACCTTCAACAAAGCTGGTGATGGTGGGCTTAATATGCACTCTGGGCTTAAATGGCACTCTTGTCTGTTAATCAGCTCACCTGGTTAAAAAGCTGATGATTCTAATTTCAAAAAGGTGATGGTGAATCCTCCCTGGGTTTTCATCCAAACTGTGAAGGATACCTGCCTTATCATCTCTAAATGATCAGGATTCTCTCTCTTTTCTTTTGCCATCTTGAGAGAAAGCCTATTTTGAAACCAAAGCAGCTGATGCTTCATTTCCAGAAATCATCCCAGTTGATGATAGCTGCACCAACCCGCAAATGCGGTGTTTCGGGGTCTCTGTGACCCTTTGGAAAGCTCAGGCTGTGTACATTTTGTGGCCTACAGCTCGATTCCTCAGTTGCTTCTAATGAAACAAGCTCAAGTTCTCAACAGATCCTATCAAGGAAAGCAAGAGAAGAGAGATGGCTCTGGCCATTTGGATGATAAGACCCGCATCCGCAAGGTTGGGTATCCTAGGCTTCAAACTTCAAAACTGACCGCAAATACACTACTGAAAAGTGAAGAAGCATTTCCTTCATAACAAACCAAAGTGTATATGCCAACAGAGCCGAAATCTATATCCATATACTTCATATATCCACGATAAAGAGGAAGTCTTCACTGAGATGGACCAACACTCTAATGCTGTTTCTGTCAGAGGAACATACAGTACTTCTGTTCTGCCCTCAATCTGAAGCACAAGAATCATTTCCTTACTGGTATGGACAGCCTGCTTCCCCACAACCCCAGTATGACCATCACCACAGAATTTAGGTCAAACTAATACAGTACATCAAATTTCCACAAAATCTTTATTTCATTCCACAGCTTCCAACAGGAAAACAAACCAATTCATATTAATAACGTGTCATCAAGTTGAATTGGATTCATGGGGCCCTTTTTTAAATATAATTTTATTTTAGTTATAAAGTACTCAGAAGTGATTCACCATTTTCTTCTTCTGGGGCCGTGGTGGTACTGTTCACTTGCCCTTCTCTCAACAGGTACAGGGGCAAAATAAAATGCCGAGTCCTGGCTCCACAGCTGTGTGTGTTCCAACCCACTGAGCTAATCAGCCAGCTAAAATTCTCATTATTAATATTGTACAAGTATATAATTTTTGGTAACATGGACATTTTGAGAAATTTTACAGTACATGCATAATTAAATGAAATCTAAAACATATTTTACCACTTTAACAATGTCACACCTTCCATTCATAACTTCATTAGCCTATAAAACTGCATTATTTAAATTTGCATTGTTCGGCATACTTATGAAATTTAAAAATATAAAAGTATTAATATGCTGTATGTTCTATTAAAGAGAGGAATGTTAACTGCTGCAGTGTATGCTACAAGCCAAGCACATTTATAATTGCTTTTGCTTACAAGAGAAGCCAGAAAAAAAAGTAGGGGAGGGGAGGAATAAAATAGAAACCACAAATTATGGATTGAATAACATAGTGTATTACTTGAATATCAACTTGTTTCTATTGTGAATGGCTGGGAATCTGTTGTGGTCAGTAACAAGGATCCCCTTCTTACAGAGCCATGTTATAAATAACAGATTTCCAAGCAGATTAAGGGGTTCTGGGGTATCTCCTTGTAAAAGTGCCACAGGATCCCCGGCACTGTTGATAACTGTTGATGCCACAGGATCCTCGGCACTGGTTCCAGGAAACTAAAAGGTTCTGCCCGAGAGACAAAGCAAAGCAACAATACACACGGACACAAGATACAGAAATAAAACTTGCCAGCTAGAATCCTACTGCTGATTTACTCTTGTGAAAGGGAAACAGAACATGTCTTGGCAGCAAATTGCCACTCATTAATGAAGTACCGGTTGTGTTTCCAGATGTGTGCCCTCTCATTAATGAGCATCTCTCTCTAACTATCCATACATTTATACATACAAATACGTACCTCATCTTTTTCCTCAGAAGGATCCAAAGCAACTTACAATATCGAAATAAACAGTATTGTTTTTTAAAGAAATATTATTACAATATTTAAAAAGAATTAAAACAGATATTGCATTAAAACTAGTGGATAAAAAGTGTAAAATAATTCTAAATACCCCTTAAAAATAACAAAAGAAGAGCAGCCCATTTTTAAAAGTCCTCGTAGTTATCCAGTTATTGAAAACAAGCCAGCTTGGAGAGAAAAGTTTTTTGCTTGCCAGCCTGAACTCCGGTGGGGGTTCCACAGTTTGGGAGCAGTGAGAGAAAACCCTCTCCCATGTTCCTGTCAAACACATCTGTAGGGGAGGTGGGACCAAGCGAAAAGCCTCCCCCGTTGATCTTAACACAAGAAGAGGCTCATAATGGGAAATACGGTCTTTGAGATAGTTTGGTCCCGAACCATTTCGGGCTCTAGAGGTCAGAACCAGCGCTTGGAATTGTGCCCAGAACCAGATCAGCAACCAATGGAGCTGATGTAACAGGGGATATAAGTGATCCCTATAAGTGGCCTCAGCTAACAATCTTGCTGCAAACCATTTTGGTCCAACGGAAGTTTCCAAACACCTTCCAAAGCCTGCCCACATATAGGGCAATTGCAATAATTGTAACTTAAGGATGTGTCACTGTGGCCAGATCAGATATCGCCAGGAATGGATGCAACTGGCCCAACAGTTTTAACTCTGCAAAGGTTCTCCAGGGATAGCTTGGCTCAAGAGACAAAACCGGCAACACATGCCAGCTGCAAATTTGTGTTTTCGGGAGGACTGTCACCCCATCCCACACAGGTTGAATCCATATTCCCTGGTTTGCCTCTGAACTGGCCAGAAGCACATTTTTGTCTTCAGCTAACCAACTGGCTGGGACCAATGCATTTACTGTTTTTTTTAATGCATCCTTACACCACAATGAATTAATCACACTTTGGGGAGTTATAGGCATCCTTCAGTCTCGAGAGACTATGGTAACGTGCTCTGAATAGAGGTCTTGGAACAGCATCTAGTGTGGCTGAGAAGGCCAATTTGAGAGTGACCATCCCTTCCACACTGAAGACAAATAGAATCTTGGTGGAACGCCTTCTCCCACCAAGTTCTACCCGTGTCACTCGTGCGAGCCAGGAGGTGAGGCTGAGGAGCCTAACGCTGAGAGAGGCCCGGAAGGAAAAGACAAGAAATCGGGCCTTCTCGGCGGTGGCTCCTTCCTCCGGAGATTCGTGCGGCTCCCTCGCTGGGCATTTTTAAGAAACAACTAAAAACACTGATGTATAGGCAGGCCTTCCCAACAGATAACCCCTGACGATTTTTCTTTCTCTATATCTCTCTTCAACTTCTATCTCTGTTTAGGTGTAATGATTTTAAAATTATATTGCTGTTTTTTATTGTAAGCCGCCTAGAGTGGTCTAATATGACCAGATAGGCGGGATAGAAATAAAATAAATAAATAAATAAATAAATAAATAAATCCCCTGCCCAGCTCCCTGATTGTGCTGCTTTTGTGACTGCCTCTTGGCCTCGGCCTGCCGGACCAGGGTCTCTTCAACTTGGGAGAGGCTGTGATGCACCACCTGCCTCCAGGCCGAACGCTCAGATGTCAAGGTTTCCCATCTGTTGAGATCCATTCCTAAGGCCTTCAGATCCCGCTTGCAGATGTCCTTGTATCGCAGCTGTGGTCTCTGCTCACTCTTGGAAAGGAGTTGCAGAGACATGGGAATACAGAGGGTGGTGTTAAGCACAGATAGAAAAGCTCACTGCACTCCTGACTGATCTATCAGAATCCCAACACAGATATATTTTTGCTAAACATGGCTTCCTTTTATTCTGGTTTTTTAACAACCGTACAAATTATTTTATAGGTGGGAGTAGTAGTAGTAGTAGTAGTAGTAGTAGTAGTAGTAGTAGTAGTAGTAGTAGTAGTAGTAGTAGTAGTAGTAGTAGTAGTAGTAGTAGTAGTAGTAGTAGTAGTAGTAGTAGTAGTAGTAGTAGTAGTAGTAGTAGTAGTAGTAGTAGTAGTAGTAGTAGTAGTAGTAGTAGTAGTAGTAGTAGTAGTAGTAGTAGTAGTAGTAGTAGTAGTAGTAGTAGTAGTAGTAGTAGTAGTAGTAGTAGTAGTAGTAGTAGCAGTAGTAACAACAACAACATCTTAGAACTGCAGCGATGGAAGGGGCCCTATGGATCTTTGGGTCCAGCCTTTATCAACGAGGCACAAACTTCCCAACATCTGGACTATACCACAGAGCTATCCAGTGGTGCTTATATCACCTGTTCTTCTCGACATGCACGATAAATTGGAGAAATGCAATAACTGTTTCTGGTTCTGCACAGAGTCTTTTGTCACTTTAAACAAAAAAAAATCCTTTAAAATGTGGAGCAATTTGCTGCCAAGACTTAGATAATTTCCCTTATACCAGCAATAGCGTTCTAGCCGTTCACACATACATTTTACTAAGAAGTTTTACATAGAATCAAAACAGATGGACCTACTAAGCAGTAATACTTACGAACAATGCACAAAGGATTTCCACACTAAGCAATAATACTTACGAACAATGCACAAAGGATTTTAGCACTTGAGCAGTTACACCTTAAATCAGCTTGGGCCAACCTATCACTTCCCTCTCCCAAGCCATGCTGAGGGATATTTCCTGCTTCAGTTCAAACAGTTCCCCCCTTAATTTGTAGCATCAAGTGATAACATGAACTGTTATCTCTGCTTTACCTGCTGTTCTTAGTTCAAACTGTTCTTTAAACTTTCTATAACGTCATGCTTACTAAACTGAGTTTTGCTAGAACCGACAATGGCAAGAAAGCCCAGTTTGACTGCAGAACAAACAGATCCACAAAGAAACCACAGCAGAGAAACGACCTCAGCCACCAGATTTCTCCCTCCCCATCCCTGCTTTCAACGCTGTTCTTAGTTCCATTGTACTTTATGGATCTTAATCTCATCTTTGTCGTGACATTTAAAATACTGAGAAAGCCCTATTTTGCTTCACAAGAAGCAGGTGCTCAAGAAACTCCCCGGAGAAGGAATGGCTTTTTGCAGCCATGGCTCTGGCGTCTGTGGTGAACAGGCGTTCCATGGCGGCGCTTGAAGGAATGCCCGTGTTGTACTTGAGAAAACTCTGCAGAATATGTGGGAAGGAATACAGGGATAAGGAAGACACTTCGCTTCTTGGAATCTTCAGATATGTTGAGATTTCCTCCTCAGCTGTGGACACATTTGACTTCTTTCTCCCGGACTCAATGTCAAAATAGTTATACAAGTCACTGTCGCTTTCCTGTTCTTCTTCTAGAGGTTCCTCAATGTCGTCACCGATTGCATCTTGAAGTTCAGCCTTCAACCAGGCCTCCATCTTGGACCTAGGAGAGAGAGAGGACATTGGTTGTTTTGGTTTTTTCGGGTTCTTTGGCCGTGTTCTTTAACCTTCTAAGTTAGGACGGAGAAGATTGCTCTCAACTTTAGAAAGGGTCAGCTCAATCTCTGTTGTGTCTTGATAAATGAACCACTGGATGAAAGACAAAAACAAATTCAAAATTACCTTGATAGGATGGGACACTGGGCTGAAAGCAACAGAATGAAATTCAGCAGGGATATGTGCAAAGTCCTGCACCTCAGAAAAAGAAACCAATTGTGCAGTTACAAGATGGGGGATACCTGGCTCAGCAAAACAACGAGCGAGCAAATACAGAGAGGACATTGTTAACCTTCTAAGCTAGGAGGGAGAAGAGAGGACTCTATGGACTCTTGATTGCTGGAATGTGCTACCCCTAGCCGCCCCGAGTAGACGTGGTCTAGAGGGACGGGGTATAAATTTAATAAAATAAAATAAAATAAAATAAATAATAACACAGTTTGCAGGGATGATTGCTCTCAACCTTAAGGGAAGAAAGGGTCACCTCAATCTCTGTTGTGTCTTGAAAAATGAACCACTGGATGAAAGGCAGAAACAAAATTCAAAATGACCTTGATAGGATGGAACACTGGGCTGAAAGCAACAGAATGAAATTCAACAGGGATACGTGCAAAGTCCTGCACCTCGGACAAAGAAACCAATTGCGCAGTTACAATATGGGGGATACCTGGCTCAGCAAAACAACGAGCGAAAAGGATCTTGGAATTGTCATAGATCATAAGCTAAATATGAGCCCACAGTGTGATGTGGCTACAAAAAAGGCTGATGCTATTTTAGTCTGCATTAATAGAAGTATAGTTTCCAAATCCTGCGAGGTGCCAGTCCCTCTCTATTCTGCACTGGTTAGGCCTCACTTTGAATATTGTGTCCAGTTCTGGACACCACACTTCAAGAAGGATGCTAACAAATTGGAACAAGTTCGGAGGAGGGCAACAAGGATGATCAGGGGGCTGGAAACAAAGCCTTATGAGGAAAGGCTGAAAGAATTGGGCATGTTTAGTCTTGAGAAAAGAAGACTGAGGGGTGATATAATAGCACTTTTCAAATATTTGAAAGGCTGTCATACAGAGGAGGGACAAGATCTGTTCTCGATCATCCCAGAGTGCAGGGCATGCAACAATGGGCTCAAGTTAAAGGAAGCCAGATTTCGGCTCGATATCAGGAAAAACCTCCTAACTGTTAGAGCAGTACAACAGTGGAACCAGTTACCTCGGGTATTGGTGAGTGCTCCAACACTGGAGACATTCAAGAAAAATGTAGATAATCTACTGGCAGATATGCTTTGATCGTATTCATGCATTGAGCAGGGGGTTGGACTTGATGGCCTTATAGGCCCCTTTCAACTTCACTTTTCTATGATTTCTATGAAATCCTGGCGCATAATTCCACCTGTGTAGCAGGATAATGATTTATATATATAAAATAATAATAAAAAATTAAGTCCAAAATCCACTGAAAACTGGTACAGCCCACAGCAGGGCACAGTGGCACAAACTGGTCCCCAGGGACCTCAAAAACACCAAACTCCATTCCAATTTTACCTGTGCTCAGCTTTTTCCAGCCAGTCCAGTTTGAAGAAAGGGTGTAAGCAGGCAGCCAGAAGGAGGTCCTTGTCCTCCCAAACCGAATCAAATCGCTTCCTGAGGGCACTGCGCAGGCCTCTCAACACAGGGAGGCAGTACGTGTAGGGTTCAGGTTTGTTTTCTAGCCTCTGCAACTTGCGGTCCAGACTATACAGAGTTGGCAAGAGGTACCCCATGAACATACTGTTCTCCCGTTGCAGGATGTCCAGGGCCCGGGCCAACGGCCCCATGATCTCCATGTACTCCTGCAACAGCACACGCTCTGCTTCAGCAATCCGATCTAAAGAACAGTGCTCCATCACATCATCTACTTTTTCTGGCGCTGTAGCGAGGAACTCGTTGAGTTGTTTCAAGGCGTCGAAGGTGGAGTTCCACCGGGTTTTGTCTGGAACTTTCAGATACATGCCACACTGCTCATGGATGTACTCTGCAAACTGGACAGACTGGTTCTGCCTGGACCACAGCTGGCTACACTTGTCCATCAAGGAGAGGAAGTGTTTCCGGAAAGCACCAAGAGGACTATTTCGGGAGGAGTCAGAAATCATGGCCTGTATATCTTGCGTGGCCACCAGGTTGAGGGTGTGGCTAGCACACCTTCGGTGTGGTGGCAAGCAGAGAGATCCATCCAATTCTGCCACTTCTTTCTGCTGCTCACTGCCTGTGTCCAGAATCTCAGAAACACATACAAACTCTACCTTTGCCTCCCATCCGTCCTCACCACCACAACTTACATCTACACTATCCATGGCTTCTTTGGCAATGAAATGCTTGCCGTTGTCAGCGGTAATACACATGACTTTATTGTGAATCCCGTACTCTGCATACACATTGTGCAGTGCTTTCACAAGAGTACAGTAGTTGGGGGGCCCCTCCAGCTGCCTGCAAGCCAAGGCCCCAAATTCCCGCTTCAGAGTTGCTGGGTTGATCCAGTGGGCCGTGACCCACAGGGAAGTCACCTCCCCACTGGCCCAGCAATCTGCAGTGGTGGCAACGTACGGCACCACAGCCATCTGGTTTGCGAGAGCTTCTCGCACGCTCGCTGCTCTCCTCTCTATCCTGTCTCTCAGAGTCTTGGCACACATAATGGTGAGATATCTGGGAATCCCGAGCCCCACTAGTGCTCTGAAGGTGGGCTTCTCCACCATCTGGAGAGGCACTGTCTCCTCTACAATGTAATCCATCAGTCTGCTGTCCAGAAGACTCTGGGTGATTATCTCCCCTCCCGTTCTCCAAGGCTCAAGGATGGTTTGCTTCTTAGCCATTTTTGCAGCAGGAGAGCCGTCCTCACTCTGAAGATTTTGCCTCGGACGGCCACGTCTCCTGCCGCTTCCTCCTACTATTTCGAGAATGGTTCTGAGCTGCTCAGGATGTGCCTTCTAAGGAGGAAAGAAAAACAAGCCTCGGTCAAATCTGAAAAAGCGCTCCGCATTTGAAACAACGGTGAATGATTGTGCCCAATTGTCTAGGAATGGGGTTTTACGAATTTAAGGATTCCCAGCCCCATGATGATCTGGCAAGAAACCTCCCAAGGCCATTCAAAAAGGTGTAGGAGAAAATGAGTTCTGATGGACGCTGGCTTTGCAAATCCCAGGGAAACCTTGTAAATCCCACAGTACAGTGGGGCACTCATCTAACTGTTTAAAGAAGGGCATGGGAATGGCATAGAGATAAGAAAGCTGTTCCATTTCCCACCCGTTTGAGGCTCCCGTGTCCTGCCAAATTATGGGACTCGGAGTCCTTGGATTCCAAAAATCCCATCTCTGTGATTATTACCGGATTTTTCCGTGTATAAGATGCCCCCATGTATAAGACGCCCCTCACTTTTCTAACCCCAAATTAAGGAATCTAAGTGGGGCTTAGCAAGTGTAGGTGAGAAGGGATCAAAGCCTTGCAGAATCACTTTGATCCCCGCTTTCCCCTCCACTTATATTTGTTCTCTCCCCAGCTTACTTCCGTGTATAAGACAACCCTCAATTTTTAGACTAAAGATTTTAGACAAAAGTATAGTTGTATACATAGAAAAATACGGTACTTTACACCCATATTTTTGCCTGTTCTTGTGACACCACAGGAAAGACAACCTGGCACCCCACTGATGGGACTAACGCTCACCTTCAAATGTTGCTTCACGTTGGATGCAGTGCTAATTGCAGAGCCCACGTACTTGATCACTGGGAGACAGTAATTGCATTGCACCACCACATTTTTCCCCTTCTGGCTCACAAATGTGAAGGCTTCCTCAAAGCCAAACCATGGGACTGGTGGTGGCCGCACAGTTGCCGAGGTGGACGGCTGCAACTCGATCATCCTCTCCTCGTGATGCGGATGCAGCCCCATCTCGATCTGGCTGGTCCCTGCTTCAGTGGCACGACAACAGTGAGGAGAGAAAAGATAGTTAATTAACCCCTCCTTACAAATTGTAAACAGACCCGCAAAGTAATCAAGAATTAAAGTGAACACATACTGACTTAAGTATTCTATAACAATGGATCCACACATAAGAAAGGAACTAATAAGAAAGGATCGGACAAAGGTTTCTCTAGCTTCTTGATGTTAGTCACTGACCCACTTGCCACATCTCAACTTTAGTTGCCAAATAACCATTTGACTCTTGAATTTGATCCCAACATGCTGACAAATCCAAGACCTACAAGCCAAACCTGAAATCCAGTAACGTCTTGCAATTACAGTGATTTCTTGAATGGATCTGTTGTATTTTAAATCCCCTTTTGGGTGAAGTAGCCTATGCTTGCCACTACGTCTACACTGAATACCTGATGGGAAAGAAACTGTTCTGCCTTGAGAACCATCCATTACTCAATGTTCACTCCTCCGGTCCTCTTTTACCCTCTAAACCATCACCTTCTTAGGTAGTTCAGGCTGACATGAGTTTGCGGCCCTCGAACACCCAGTGAGTTTTATAACTCACTGTATGTTTTTGTTGTTATTATAAGCCGCCAAGTTGGAACCAACTTATAGTGACCCTAATAACGTTCTCGAGGTGAGATATTTAAGGAGTGGTTTTACCACTTTCATTCTCATAGTCAGTTTTCATGGCCACGGGGGAGGGTATCCATACCCTGAGTCCTAATCTATAACTCTGTCCACTCCAATACATTGGAAACCCAATGTGAGCGGACTCATAGTGGAAGTGTAATTGTGCAAGAATTTCTCAATTTCAATGAGTTCTCTGCTGCACAACTGGTCGAAAACTGAGGTGCACGACTAATCAAGTGAAGAAAAACCCATGGGCTGCTTGCAGGACTGCCCTGGTATGCGCTGGTTTCCTCAACAGGATTCAATCCACTGTCATTTCATTTTTTAAAAAAAATATGTTCACTTCTTGTACATTTTTTACCTGTACCTGAGCGTCTCCCTATTGTCATCTGTATTTGCTTGAATTTAATTCTGAGCTTACTTGGATCCCAGTACTGAGGGAAAGGTAGGATATGAACCAAAAAAAGCCCCACAATAAAATAATAAGCAAATTAATAAGATAATAATAATCCTTACTAAATATTTAAAAGTAACCAACAGTCCTTTCCCTCCCCAGAACACTGGCCCTTCCTTGAAAGCAGGTGGTTAGAATCAAGCACAGCAAAAATATCTAAAAGCTGTGACATTTCCATTCATTATGCAGGATGTGCTGGATACCTCAAAATGGAGCAGCCAAAAAAGAGACTTAGAACTTAAAAAAAAACCCACAGTAATCCCTTGACACACGGTGCAAAAAAATTCTAAAAAATGGATATTAGGCAAAATCCAAAGGGAGAAAAAACCCAAAGAGATAAAAACATGTGGCACCTTAAAGACTAACTAATGTGAGCTTTCATAGGCAACATCCACTTCATCAGACATTAAGAGACAGAATGAAATGTAGATGAACTATCAGTTTGGCATTCTAAATGTTCATTGGTTGCATGCAGTAATTAGGCTTCTGTTTGTTTTAGGGTCCTAAAAATACTACAGGAAGACAGAAAAGAAGATACCCCGTCTGAGCAGAGATGAAAAGTCAGGTTGGGAGAAGAGACAGAGAGGTGGGGGATTTAAAGATGAAGTTAATCTCAAGAGGGGAAAGAAAGAATGAAAGACTTTAGCAGATGTATCAGGTTTGTACTGAGTGGGAGATCAGCCAGGAAAGTGGGGCAGAGAAGCCTGAGCTGTTGCTGGGACTGGAAGATCCCTTGAGGAGGTGCCGGAAGCTGCCATGCTGGGCCAGGTGAATCGCTGATTCAGCCCGAAGAGGCAGGGGAGGGGAGCGGTGAGAAACAGAAACATTCAGGCTAGAAAGAGAGATACAAAGAATGACTTTGGCAAAAGTTCAGGGAGTTTGAGGCGGGAACAGCGGAGATAAAAAGAAAGGAGGAGCATGGTTGTTGTGGGTTTTTCGGGTTCTTTGGCCGTGTTCTGAAGGTTGTTCTTCCTAATGTGTTATTACACCCACAAAAATACACACTAATCACCCATCTACAGAAAATGACAAAAGCCTATCCCACAGCCATAAATAGTGCACTCCCAAAGCCAACTACACCAGAGCACAGAGTGCTGTCCTCTGAAGATGCCCATGGCCACAGAGACTGGCGAAACGTTAGGAAAAACAACCGTCAGAACACGGCCAAAGAACCCGAAAAACCCACAACAACCATTAGATCCCAGCTGTGAAAGCCTTCGCAAATATAAGAGAATGAGCAGTTGTCACCAGGTTGGGAGTATGGATGGATGGAGGATCCCTGGACTAGGGCTTGAGGGAGGTTAAGAGGGCCCAAGGAAGATTATAGGAGAAGAGAGATCCCCCCCAGACCCTCATATTGGGGAGAGGCTGAGGCAAGGGAGTGGAGAAGGAGGCTGAGAGAAGAAAAGGAGAAAGCAGAGAGGGAAAGGAAAGAAAGATAAAAATGGAGGATAAGCAAGATGAGGAGGAAGGGTTACAGGGAGGAAGGACCCTACACCATAAGGATGGCCTGTGTAGAATGAACGGCCGGGATGATGAGACCATGCCCTTGCTGGAAGGTGAGACGTGACAGACGATAGTCAACAACATCTTTGCAGACTGGCTGGGTCTGTGGAACACCTGAGAAAGAAATCCGCTCCTAGGTGATGGTTGGAAACCCCTTCAAGACCCGTTGTAGGATGGAGAAAAGCATTGGAACCGTGTTATGGACACTTGTTTCTTGGTAAATACTCCAATAAATGCTCCAAATCGAACCCTCACAACTGGTTCATGCCCATTTCTATTAAGGAACCAACTCCATGCTCCATGGCAAGATAGAAAAGGGAGGACTCACCTCTAGTCTTCATGTCTTCTCCTCACTTCCCAAGGTTCCTTTTGGAGTCTCTCTCCCTCTCTCAGGGTCCGCTAACCTTATGGTCCCTTCCGTGGTCCCTGAACAACAAACACAATGCAAGCTGCAGCAAAGAAACCATGTGATAGTTCCCCCAACCTGCAACAAGGAGAGACCTCTTATTGTGAAGCTTTTCAGTTCCCCCAACCTGCAAGGAGAGACCTCTTATTGTGAAGCTTTTGAAGATTTTGCTAACTGCATCATTCCGACCTCGCCATCACAAAAAAATTTAACAAATCACCAAGTAATGTGTTACTGTATCTTCATGAGAAGATATAGAGAGCAAACAGCAAATCACCTTAACCCACCTTGACCCCTCTAGGAGATCTGGATCAAAAAACATGATGATGCCAGAGATCCAGGGTGCCCTGGGGGCCACAAGGGCTGCTGTTCACTGTATCTATTCTGGAGAGGATCAAGTTCAAGGAAGTCGGAACAGCAAGAAAATTCCCCCATTGCCAATGACTTTCTTAGGCACACTCTGCCAGATTCTTGCTGCCCATCTACACTTGGCAAAGAGAAATCAGAAATTTTCGCAGTGCATTGCCATTCCATTTATTAAGCAGGACTGATGGTGTCCATGGTCCATCATGTGAGTAGACACAGGCCCCAGAATACAACCAGCACCTGGCTAATCAAGCAATTGGATTGTAGCAATCAAATAAAGGCAAGGAGAATCTTAGTCTGTTAAAAAAGACAAGCCCTCTACTTTTTTGAGGCAAAAATCTTTATTTTCAGGGAGGCTTTTGCCCACGGCTTGGCTGCCCAGGAAAGCGCTTTGATGAAGAGCGCTGGACCTTTTCACCATTCTTTTTAAAGCGATTTAAACATCTTTTTCCATTAAAAAAAATCAAATGGTTGTTTTCATATAACACATTTCACTGCTCTCGAACGCAGTAATTCTGATTTAATGGATTCTCAGTCAAATTTATCCTTTAAATATTTTGTATACCACCTTGAATCCTTTTTAAAAAATAAATATAAAATGACGATCAATGAATGAATGGGAAACTAGTGGGACTAAAGCCAGTGAGGCTTACTCCAGAGTAAGTAGGAAGAAGTCAGGCTGTAAACCCGACCCGCTTTTTACCAAAAAACCCTAGATTCGCTTTATCTCCAAAGCCTGCGGAAGCATCAACCAAATCCGCCCGTATCGAATCAAATAAAGGGTTTAAATACCTCTTGCTCCGATTCAAGCGTGGCGAATTTCACCGAAAACCATCCACAAGGCCCTGAACAAGCAGCGGCCCCTTAAGACTCCGCCTCCGCCGGCTTTGTTGAATAATTAAGCACGGAGTGAATGAATCAGGAGGCGGAGCAAAAGAAAATTCGACACGGCGCCCAATCAGCAGCTCCTCGAACGTTCTGCTATTAACATACAGAGCCGGCCAGCCTCGTTCCTCCTGAGGGTCTCTCCCGATCCTAGGGGTTAAGAAGCAATAGTGCACCCTCCCATTTCCGGTCGCCAGTGAAACTGCCTGCAATGGGTGTGGTCTGGATTCCCCTGAGACCCCTGGGTGGGGCTGCTGCGTTGGGATGATGGGGGGGGGAGAGAGGATGAGGTGAAAGTCCCAAGAGCGGAAGTAAATCCAGCACCTTGTAATTTCTTGGCTGCTGCAAAGCTTCATGTTTTTCGTGAGGTCTTTTCTTCTTTTTGTCTGAGACTTTCACAGTGCAATCATCCTATGCCTCTTTTAGAGCATCAGAAAGTAGCAGCGTTAGACTAGGGATCAGAAGTGTGCAGAATTGTGGTTTTGGGCTGCCTAGGGAATTCTGGGATTTGTAGTGCAAAAGCATACCTCTGGGCATCTCTGCTTGGGGGTGTGGCATCCAGCATATCCCAAGGCAGCATCGCTACTGGTTTTTATTTAAGATAAGGACTCTAAAGAAGTCCTGCTGTATTTCATTGGGGCTTACTCCCAGGTAGTTCTAGGAACATCTCTTAAAATTTTTCCTTAATCTTTGGTTTTTTAAAATTATTGATATCCCATTTGGAAAATTTGTCTCTGCTTTGTTGCCATTATTTTTCATTAGCTATGTTATATGTAGTTATTGCTGGTTTTCTTTTCTTTGATGTAGTGTAGTGTAGTCCTGGAACGAGCTGGAATTTTTAGCATGTATATATTACTGAAACAGCGATGTCTACATTGGCTCAGGCATGTCATGAAAATGGCTGAAGTTCAGATTCCAAAAGATCTCCTGTATGGAGAATTAGTGCAGGGAAATCGCCCCAGAGGGAGACCACAACTGCAATACAAGGAGATCGGCAAGCGAGCTCTGAAGGCCTTCGGAATGGACCTCAACAGATGGGAAACCTTGACATCTGAGCGTTCAGCCTGGAGGCTGGCGGTGCATCATGGCCTCTCCCAATTTGGAGAGACACTCATTCAGCAGACTGAGGCCAAGAGGCCGTCCCGAAAGCAGCAAAATCAAAGAGCTGGACAGGGACCAGATTGTATTTGTCTTCAGCGTGGAAGGGATTGTCACTCTCAAATTGACCTTCTCAGCCACACTGGACACTGTTCCAAGTCCTCCATACAGAGCACGTTACCATAGTCTCTCGAGACTGAAGGATGCTTATCTCTTTGATGTTTTAATTGATGGTTATTGAATTTTACCTTACATTTATGTTGCAGTACTCTAAGCATCACCAGAAACTGGTGGGGGGTGGCATCTGGTTGTGGAACAGAAGTGATAAATGAGGTAGACGTTTGTGGGATGTTGGCAGGTGGAACTCTTCTCATTACACAGAAGTAAACAGATGTGCCTCAGCTGGACCTTGCAGATCACTTACCTCACTTCTGTGTGCCTTGCAGGTAGTAGAATCTTTATCTGCAGGTAGGATCCAAAGACTTTTAACAGCTGTTTGCCTTGCTGAAGGTTAAGAAGCCCAGCTCCGCTCATCCCGTAGATGACCATCTTTCAGATCTGCTTTGACTTGGATTCCTGCACTGTGCAGTGGGGTTGGACTCCATGGCTTTATAGGTCCCTTCCCACTCCATTATTGTATGATTCTATGGGAAACCACCTGGGAAACTCAGATGCACTTTCTGGTCTTTTAATCAGACTTGCCTGTTTTTATCTTGTCCGTGATGCTTACCTGTAAAGTGTGTTCCAAAATCAATAAACAGGTGCATTGTTGATAAATGCTCTTTTAAGAAGCTGGTCAACTACTAACCATAACACCACCAGACCTACAAAACTGGCAATATTAGGAACACCATATACATTGTGATGATAATTATGCGCTCTACGTGGGGCTGTCTTTGAGGCTGCTGCGGAAACTACAGGTGGTGCAGAATGTGGCGGCCAGACTTCTCAGTGGAGTGAAAAAATTCCAACACATTTCACCCACTCTGGCCGCACTGCATTGGCTGCCCATTCGATTCCGCATCGACTTCGAAGTGTTGATGCTCACGTATAAAACCCTAAACGGTTTAGGGCCTCGATATTTGGCGGAACGCCTTCTACCACCAAGATCTACCCGTGTCACTCGCGCGAGCCAGGAGGCGAGGCTGAGGAGCCTAACGCCGAGAGAGGCCCGGAAGGAAAAGACCAGAAATCGGGCCTTCTAGGCGGTGGCTCCTCGTCTCTGGAACAACCTTCCCCCTGAGATTCGTGCGGCTCCCTCGCTGGGTATTTTTAAGAAACAATTAAAAACATGGATGTTTGGGCAGGCCTTCCCAACAGATAACTCCTGACGATTTTTCCCTTTTCCTAGAGCTCCCCACTGACAATAGTTCCTTTTTAATGGGGATTTTTGTTTCAGCCATTGCTCTTTTTTGTTCCTTCTTTGTAAAGAGAAAATGTGACATTTGTAAGAAAATAAGCAGTTTCCTTTTAATTCCCTCCCATTTGATGACTGAGCAAATTAAGGCTAAGGTAATTAAGGTTGATAATTTTTTTATTTTTATTTTTTGCCTTTTTAGTTAACATGTTATTCAGAATAGGATGTATGGTGATGATTAAATGAAAAAAAAACCAGAAGAAATGAATTTGTTCCTTGTGCAATTAACAAGACTACTGGGTCTAATTGTGAGGGCACATTTCTTCACTGCCTACAATAATTGTCACTTCCATCATTTTCATGCAATGTTCTTTATACAGTAGAAAATAATTAAATCCCAAGGAGCTTAAAGTATATAGTAGCAAGATCGAAGGGAGGTAGAGTGAAGGATTAACATGGGGGGGATATGCCCCTTTTTAGCTATAGCTAGAAGCTGAATTATGCCAGGGAAAGAAACTGCATAGCTGCATATCTCCCCAACTGCCAGGATACAGTAGAAAATAATTGAAGCCCAAGGAGCTTAAAGTATATAATTCCACCGACTAGCAAGAACGAAGGGAGGTAGAGTGAAGGATTAACATGGGGGGGGGGAAAAATGCCCCCTTTTAGCTGTAGTAGAAGCTGAATTATGCCAGGGAAAGAAACTGCATAGCTGCATATCTCCCCAACTGCCAGCCAACAACATAAAAAGTAACTTTAATCCAACAGCAACGAGCTACATGCAGTGCTTCCCTTGGCATAATTGTAAACCATTCACTGGCCTTGTTTTCAGAAAGGTTTAATAAAGGCACCTTTACAGAATTAGAAATTGTTTTATTGCAGTTTTCCCCCAGGGATTTTCTTTCTGTAAAATCTTTTCCTGCAACGTCACCCCTCAACATCCTGTGTCTCTTGGCAGCATCCTGAAGTCTCTATGATCCTTGACCATAGACTCCGTACAAGTAGCAGATCTTCTCCTGTTGCTGTGACCATCTGTGCTTCTGCTAATACAAGAAACTTCAAAGCGCCTATGTTTTCATTGTGCTAATTCAGATTAATTAAATTTCCTGTTAAGGTTAAATTCAATGCATTAGATTTATTCTTCAAAATGAAGTTTTAATTACATCCGAGTGGGCTTGAGGAGGCAATTTTGTTTTAATACTAACAAATATCATTTTATAATAAAAGAAGATCCAGCAAATGGCTGTGGTAATGCCATTGAAACAACATGTTTCTGGTCAGAAACAGTCAAATTATCTTCACATTTTAATTGGTTTTTAGTGTTGCCTATATTTCATACGTGTTCATATGTTTAAATTGGGCAAAAATCTGATACAAAGAATCCAATAAGTTCCATTGCATTAAGTGTAGCTTATTCCCAGCCACCTGCAAACCTATGTTCACCACGCATGGAGGATGCTCTTGCTGATCAACTCAGCTTCTGCTACCCCATGCTTTCTGCGTTCACCATGCATGGAGAATGCACTGGAGCACTCTTGCTGATCAGCTCAGCTTCTGCTACCCCATGCTTTCTGCATAGGGAGAAGTGGCACCGCCTCTGAAGCTGCGTAAATCCACCCTCGCTGCTAGTGGTTACAGAAATGTCCCTACTGCCCATGTTTGGATCCATGAATAAGAAACTAGTGTCTACAGCACTTATGGTGCTACAACTGGGATCCCTCTGATACCAGAATGTGTGATCATGACTATGACATGAAAGGTGTGGTCTTGTGGGATAATTGGGGTGGGGATCCCAACCATGACCCCAAACATGGACCAATAATATCAGGACAGTGTGCTGCTATAAGCCACAGCTGCCTTTATCCCTGCTATAAGCCACGGCTGTGGAACCTCTGGCCTGCAGACCTGGTCGGATCCATAGAAGGCTTCCTCTCTAGTCCTGCCCTCAGTTCCCTTTCTGTGAAGGCCGTTGGGGAAGAATTCCCTCTGTTCTCTCCAGTTGCTTGATGTAACGAGGCTTCTTTGAGCACCATCAGAGATCTTTTAATTCCTCCCCCTTCCTCATGTGAGGAAGAGAAGTGTAGATGCTCAGGCACCCAGGGGTCACAATTGTGGTGTGATCCTGCCTGTTAGAGAGAGAAACATGTACTCTCACAAGGTTCCTCACCCCTGATGGCTATAAGAGCTGGCTGGATACCTCAGTGGTCTGGCTGTGGAGCTAGAGGTTGGGAGTTCTTCTGAGAGAAGAGCCAACCTGTGTAGCCTTGGTAAAGCTGCAGGGTTACTGAACTCATGCTGGTATCTCCCTTTTGTTTCTTACTGGCCCCATTTTAGCTTTAAGAAAGGAAAACTGACAAGCAACAAGGAGACAAAACTTTAATAATATGCTTCAGAGTGTGAAAAATTAGTCCCCAAGCATGTTCATCTGCATTACATGAAGGTCTCTAAAAATTAACAGCAGGATTTGAAGGACTTGTTTTTCATCAGAACAGCTACTGAAAGTCTTGAGAGGAGGGGGAGAAAATGAAATCCAGGATCGACTCTATGACTAGTTTGAGAATAGTTTCAGCATTTTTGTGATTACGAATCTTATTGTCTCTTAAAGAATTGAGCTTCAGAGACAAAAATCTGGGAAGAACTGAGAGAAAATTAGACATAATTTGAGTGAGTTAACTTCAGTGACTGGAAGACTGTTGAGGAGATCTTACAGAAATGGAAGACGTATGTCGGAGCAATAAGCACTGAGTTATGTATTAGTCTTTCTGGTTTGGGAAAGAGGGCCTCTGAGGCAGACCTAGAGTGTGATCACACAGGCATCTAGCTTACATTCTGGACGGCACAGTCTGGTGTGAGCTGCTTCTTGCCAATCACACAAGGTATCGATAGTAGTGTTCCAGCCCGACCCAAATCTATGTCCAAGTTAGACCTTTTTTGGCCAGTAGTACTACATTTGGAAGCTGAACTGGAGCAACTCCTTGATGGATGGAGGGGTCACTTAAAGAGAAATTGGTCCTCAAAAAGTGACCCTTTCCAGATCAGATGCACACCTTTCTGAGGAAATGGACACGTTCCACGAAAGCACACGTTAAAACCAGTCTTTATGATGCCGCAGTGTTTTTGCCTGATTTTTCTTTTAGTTTTGGCCTGATAGGCACTTTTTTTACTGACTAATCTCACCCTTAGCTGTTTTACGGAGAAATACTGAGGTGAGATTTTTTGGGATAGAAGAAGGGAAGAAGGGTCTCTCCAGAGAATGAGGCTGTCAAAAATGTGTACAGAAGAGACCCTGTATCGGCATCAAAAAAGGCCACCCGCTCTCCAGCATAGTTCAGAATCACTTGGATCTTGGTCAGCTTCCTGCTCACGGTCTGAAGAGGGACATCAGGAGATTGCTGGCTCCAGTATTTCCCATTTGACATCCCTACAGCCCAGATCCCTTCCTTGGGACTTATGGTAAGGGGAGCTTTTCTCCTCACAGACTTTCTGGCCACCCCCACGGCCCAGGTTCCCTCACTTCCCACAAGGACTTCCCAGAAGTATCTGCCTTGTGTGAATCCCTCACGTCCCAGCACGAAAGCCCGTAAGTCAAATCTCTCAGGATTATTTGGTAGATCTTGAAGTTCGTCTCCCCATTTTACACTTTTGCGATCTCCTGACAAGATGAGCTGAGGATGAGCTGTCTCTGGATCTAGACTTATATCCGCTGTTGGAAAAAGGGAATAGAGAAACCAAGAATTAACCCCACAACATACCAAATAAAGGCATTTCAGTATGAACATGAGATGCTGACAAGAAACATTATCTCCTATTCACTAATATAAAAATGTGCTTTGATTAAAAGGCAACTGGAAAAAATGTTTAAAAACCTATGGTTCGCAGACAGACCTCAGCCTTACAGAGACTTGTATTCAGTAGCATCCAGGGCCTGATCTGGGTTGAAGTGGAAAATGGATGATGCTTGTGTGGAGACAGAAATGGTCTACTTGAATTTCTAGTAGCAGAGATGAGGGATTTCCAAATCTGCCCCTTACAGGATGGCCAACAGCTTTTCTTGATTACACAATCTTTGATGACTTCCCTTTTGTGTGGGCTTTTTCCTATTCCAACAGGTTGACATACCATATTATTCCGTGTATAAGATGATATTTTTATCTAAAATATTTAGATTAAAAATTGAGAGTTGTCTTATACACGGAAGTAAGGGGGAGGGATCAAAGCGCTTTGATTCTTGCTTCCCCCCTCCACTTTCTTGTGAAGAAAGTGATTTATCCCTTTACTTCCTTTGCAAAAAGTGGGGGAAACCAAGAATCAAAGTGCTTTGATTGTGCCTGCTTTCCCCCTCCACTTTCTTGTGAAGAAAGTGATTTCTCCCTTCACTTTCTTTGCAAAACATGGGGGAAAGCAAGAATCAAAGTGCTTTGATGGTTCCTGCTTCCCCCCTCCACTTTCTTCCCTTTGATCCCTGCTTTCCCCTTCCTTAGGGGCTTAGGAAGTGGCAGGGAAAGCAGCGATCAAAGGGATCCTGCAGCCCTTTGATCCCTGCTTCCCCCCTCCTTTTGCTAAGCCCCAGGCTTAGGAAGTGGTGGGGAAAGCAGCAATCAAAATTTTCTAATTTGGGGTTAGAGAAATGGGGGTCCTCTTATACATCAGGGTGTCTTATACACGGAAAAATACAGTATATTTCCCAAGGGTGGGGGTCCTCTTATACATCGTGGTGTCTTATACACGGAAAAATACAGTATATTTCCCAAGGTAGCACGTTTTAGGTCTTGAAGCCAAAATATACAAGGATTTTTGCTCCCAATGTTTCACTTTCGGCCCCATCTGTTGTTGGAATGTTTATGGGACTTTATTGAAATTGAGTTTGTCTCTTGGATTAAAGAAGCTTCCGCAGCTTTGGCTTATAGCTACCCATGGGACAGTATAGTGACTAGTGATGTGAACCAGAAGAGGGATGTCTCCCCTACTCAACATTTCTGCCCCCACCTAGTTGCAAGCCATCCTATAGGATGGTGCTTAGGGTTGGTTGGATACATGACACAAGGTCAAAAAGATCTCTTATGTGTACCATACAGAAAGGCTTATCAGGGTCCCCAGCACCATTAGAAATGGACCCACAGTTAGATCCCACAGGACAGCTTTTGTGCACTTCTGTGGCAGTTAATAATACACATTTGGAATTGAATTTATCCTCTCTTTGCTCCTCATGAGCGTTTGGACTTTTCTCCCTCTGCATCTTTATCTCTCTGTCTGCAACATACTTCTACATTTAGAAATGCACATAGGTGGCCAGGGCCTCTCTCTCTGCATCTTTATCTCTCTGTCTTTGCAACATACTTCCACATTTAGAAATGCACATAGGTGGCCAGGGCACTAAACAGCTGGTGAGCTCTGTGGTTTTAGGGTTCTTGAACATCTGGAGCTCCGCCTCTACCTGTACAAACAGACATATTGTAAATATGTGTATCAGTGTATAGATGTAGTGGGGAGTAGCTGGCCACCACCTGTTACTATCTTTGTTATTGCATTTATGCAAATATGGGAGAAAGCAACTAACTTTCCCAGTATCGTTTGAATTAAGCTACTGGTATTTACAAAGTGTTTACTTATTGCATTTATGCAAATATGGGAGAAAATAAAAAATCCCTACATAGCAACTAACTTTCCCAGTAGTATTTGAATTAAGCTACTGGTATTTACAAAGTCTGCAAGACTAAACTAATGAACCATAATGAAATACATAATGAAACAGAGTTACAATTCTGGCTCCACATTCCATTCACCCTTGGAATTTGGTCCTCCATCAGAAACATACCTTTCCTCAGTTGTTGTCCATATAACAGATTTCCTGGGGAAGCAGAAGGATATAAAGATTAATGCTTACAATAACCTTTGTGGGCAAAAAGAAGGGTTCACTACACAGCATCTGTTGCTTTCTTATTTTAAAAACAGGATTAAGTAGAAGTTGCAACTCAGCTGTGACACTGAAGTTACAGACTGTAAAATTCTTGCAAATAATAGCACAATCTAATGCATTTTTACCCAATAAGTTCAATGCTTCTGGCACTGAAGATCTAGCAAATGTCCTAGATAATACAGTACTATTAAAGTATCCTGCTTTTAGTCAAAAGTAGTCTAATTATTTTAACATTTTATTTTGTTTTTAGTTTTCTAAAATATGGATGTTTAGTCAGGCCTTCCCCCTTCCAGTTAATTCCTAATTATTCTTTCTTTCCTTTTCTGTTACAATATACCCTGTTTCTTGCCACCTTTGGGAAAAAAATTATTTCTTTTATTTATACAAATTATGTTATGTGGTATGTTATACAGTGGTGCCCCGCACAGCGACGATAATCCGTTCTGAAAAAATCATCGCTATGTGGATTTGTCGCTATGCGGGGCAAAAAAGCCCATAGGAACGCATTAAAACATGTTTAATGCGTTCCTACGGGCAAAAAACTCACCGTTCTGTGGAAATCCTCCATGCGGCCACCACTTTCGCTGCCCGGTAAGCGAGGAAAGGACGCAAAACCACAGTGGGCGGCCATTTTCTTCACCCGGCGGCCATTTTGGAACTGCCAATCAGCTGTTCTTAAAACATCATTATGCAATAATCGGTAAGCGAAACACTTACCGATCATCGCAAAGCGATGTTTTACCATCTAAAACATCGCAATGCAATCGCTTTTGCAATCGCAAAAAACAAACCGCTATGCGGATTCATCGTTAAACGAATCGCTCGTTATGCAGGGTACCACTGCATGTCTAATTGTTTTATAATGTGTGTTGTAAGCCGCCTAGAGTGGTCACAATTGACCAGATGGGCAGGGTATAAATGAAATGAAATGAAATGAAATGAAATGAAATGAAATAAATAAATAAATAGTTTTACCTATGTTTCATATATGCCCATAATTTTAAATTGTGCAATGCTCTGATTGAAAGAAAATAAGAACCCAGTAAATTTAATGGTATTCAGTGTCACTTATTCCCAGGGACAAATATATGGGAGCATAACTTAAGTCACACAACTTTGCCATGTCTGTGACTTGATGTAAATCAGGAAGTCTCATAGGTAGCTATTTGAGAATCGCAAGAGGAAATTAGAAGAGATGAGACAATGATGAAGAAAAAGAAGTGGAATGGAGTATTTATTAATACCCTCCAATTCTAAGGCCAACTGGGGAGAACCCTGATGGGTCAAAGAAAGAGCAGAACAAAGGAAAAGATTAAGTTTCCTTGCAAAAGCTGGAGAAGACTCCCTGAAAAATCTAATATACTTGAACAATCCCCTCATCAAAAACGTCTAGTTATGCAATAAGAAATAGTGCTTCACCTGGACTCCTAAATATTTAAAGAATAGGAAGAAACAGAAAGTTCACATCACGGAGGGAGATAAAAAGGGAGTCCACAAAGTGTGTACATTTTGGACTGTTGCTATTTAATACGTCAGCTACTGCTGGCAGACAGGAAGCCTCCCATGTTTTATTTGCAAATTTTGCCTCCTGTAATTTTTGTGTTATTGTCTGTGTGTTTTATTTTAATTTTAGGGGTTGTGTTTTATCACACTGTAAACCATCCAGAATAGTGCATTACTCTAATGGGGACGTCTACAAGCAAGCAAGTAAGCAAACAAACCAACAAACAGACAAAGCCTTGTTCCTGGATGATGCCAAATTACTCAAAGTTGTGAGGAATTAGAGTTCGTGAGTGTTAAAAAAAACTCTCTCTTAAGTGGGAAGATAGGCTGCAGAATAGAGAGGAAATAAATATGATTTAGTACAATGGGGGGGATTCTAGCTTTCCATATATATTAGCTGCAGAAGGTGTCATTTTCTGTGTTTTTTGTGGTGCTTCTCATTCAGACCTCACCCCGCCGTGTCCCAGAGTGACACTGTATCATCTGTCCATTCTGGAAGTAAGAATGCAGTAGTGGAGACAGAAGGGGGGTACCTGTTTTTTCCATTATAATCTGTGATGAGAACAAAATAAATAAATGCTCGTGTTTTGACCAATAAGATGCCCTGCATAAATGCCTCACAGCCATTCTTCATTACCTTTGAACAGCTCCATGAGTCCATTTAGAAAGGAGTTTACATCACAGAAATTCCAGATCTTCCACCTCAACTCTGGAGAGAAAGCTGCTGGGACATCCTCAGAGATCTCTCTCTCTTCACTCCTGAGGGAGAAAAACAAGGTCACCCATCCCATTCAATTCAGAATTCCTGAGTGGGGCAAAGTAAAGGAGCGGAGGGGAGGAAAAACAATGTTGAAACTTGAGAACAGGGGCAGTATCTGGAGGAGGCACAATTTGCCTGGGACAACCAAATTTGTCCTTTGTAGGGGTGGCTTTAGGCCTTAAGGTTTTTTTCTCTGTTTTAAAGAAACAGGAACTGTTTAGCTTCTGGCTTTCTTTTAAAAAGGACCTTTAAGGGATTGAACAACCTGATACAGAGTACACGGCGTCTTCTAGACCAGTGGTTCTCAAACTGGGGTATCCAGATGTTCTTGGACTACAACTCCCAGAAATCCTGGCTAGCACAGTGAGTGAAGGCTTCTGGGAACTGCAGTCCAAGAACATCTGAGGTGTCCAGATGTTGAGAACCACTGCTTTACACATGTTAGGTGGATTTTTATTTTGAGGGCAAAAATGAGCCACACTGGGTCCTTTAGGGGCAGCATAATCCCTTCACTTTGCTCACCCTTGGCTCAGAGGCTCAAACAAAAAAAAATGCATTCATATGGGGAGTGGAACTGCAGCCAAAAATTGGGGAGGGGATTATAGTAACCAGCCGAAAACTAAGTGCCAGTGACATACAGTGAAAGCAGAAAAAATCACAGGTAATCAAGCTGACAGTTTTGTGGACGTTATGGTCACAGAGCACATGCTCTTTTGCAATGAGATCTTGTGATCTTGTGTAGTTCCCTCTTCTCCCTCATATGGATCTGGCTGGAGAGATGACTCAGTTTTGTATTTTTTAACAAAAAGCCTTTATTCTTTGACAACTTGTTCACTTCAACAGTAACTGGGATCTGGAGAAAAAGCCAGCCTGTGTAGCCTTGAGCAAGCTGCACAGTCCCAGAACGGTCCCCAGAAGAAAGAAAGGGTAAACCCCTTCTGAGTAGGTAGAATACCCTGAAAATGGTTGCTCTGAGTTAGAATTGACTTGACAGCACACGATTATTATTATTATTATTATTATTTAAAGGAGGAGGAGGGCAGTTTCCAGAAGGTAGTCCTGGCTCTGCAAAAAGGGGTGACAGGTTTAGAGGTGTGTCTCTATTTTATCAGTGAAATGTTGGGAGACAGTGGGACCCCATGTTTTCTCCCCAGAAGCATCAAAGGCCATGTTCTCCATATTCCTGACAGACCCTTCCCAGCTAAAGGGGAATATGGGGGATCCACCTACCTTTCCAAAGCGCTTCTCACACCCTAGAGGGAGAAGGAAGGAAAAAGACGGAATGTTACGCCCGACATCGTTTTCCCTGTTGAAAATGTATTAGCATTGGTCTACCTAGCACAAGCCCATAATTTGTTTAGGTAGCCGTGAGAAACTTTTTCCATTCGCAGGCCATGAACACACAGACGCGCGGGAGCAGGAAGCTGCATCCAGGAATAAGCTGAGTGAAAGCCAAATATACCTGCATCCAGCACACCATCACCACTTCTCTCTCTTTTCCACCCGTATCGTTCCTTGGAAGGTGCTTCTAGATTAACTGGTCTTAAGATTCATGAATCATTTCTCTTGATCTCTATTCCAAGATCAAATGCTATGTGCCTGGAAGTATGGAAAGACATTTCCACTTGGGAATTCCACTTTATGTTATAGGAATCGGTGGTTCCCAACTTTGGGTCCCCAGGCATTCTCGGACTGCAACTCCCAGAAGCCTTCAATACTAGCTGTGCTGGCAAGAGCTTCTGGGAGTTGCAGTCCAAGAACACCTGGGGACCCAAAGTTGGGAACCACTGATTCCTATAAGATAAAGTGGAATACCAAAATGGAAATGTCTTTCCAGGAATATTGCACATTTGAGGGGTGAGTTAGGTACATCTTGAATAGGTTTCCATTCCTTCTACCCTGTTTCCCTGAAAATAAGACCTAAACTGAAAATAAGCCCTAGTATGATTTTTCAGGATGCTCGTAATATAAGCCCTACCCTCAAAATAAGCCCCAGTTAAGTGAAACCCCACCCTCCATCAATGTGCAGCAACCAGAAGATGACATTTGAATAAATGTAGATTGTTGTACATAAAAAAAATCCCCTGAAAATAAGCCCTAATGCATTTTTTTGGAACAAAAATAAATATAAGACCCTGTCTTATTTTTGGAGAAACATGGTAGTGGGCAGAATATAACTGTGTGACTGGAGAACAGATCTATGATCTAACCTAGTCTTCTCTTTCTTCCCCCTCGTGCATTTGCAGAGTAGGGGAGGATTTGCTGAGCTGTTGACCAAAGAGGGCCTTTGTTGGCCTTCAAAATGGGAAATTACTTTCCCACCCTTTCCTTTGGTCCCTTAAAATTCTAATTGTCATTTGCACTCTTGATCAAATGATACAGTGGTTGGCAGAAACACATTTCTCTTGGCTCTCTGGCACGGACACAAGAACTGTCTCTTGTCCTGTCGTTCAGTGATGGAGCACATGCTTTGTTTGTAGAAGATCTTGAGTTCACTCCCCCAAAATCTCCAGGTAGAGCTGAGAAAACTCCTGCCCAAAAAACCCTGGAGAGACACTGTCAGTGTTGACAGTCTTGAGCAAAGGGGACCAATGATCTGACCCAGTGCAAGGCAGTTATCTGTCCCCCCAGCCCCTGAGAAAGGAAACAGACGTCATTTCATCTTCCATCTAAGCCAGTGGTTCCCAATCTCGGGTCCTCGGATATTCTTGGATTAAAACTCCCAGAAGACTCCACCTCTAGTTGTGCTGGCCAGGATTTCTGGGAGCTCTAGTCCAAGAACATCTGGGGAATCAAGGCTGGGAACCATGGATCTAAGCCCATGCAAACCATCCTTGCATGCTTTCCGCACTGCAGACACCATCTCACCTGCAGGAACTCACTTGCTACCTGATGATGACACTGTTTCTCCATCTCCTGAATGATACCTTCAAGAGAGGTTAGTTTGCTGGAGAGTCTGGCCAGATGCTCATCCCTTTTCTTTGCAATCTCCTTCTTCACCTCTTCCATTTGGTCTAGAAAAAGCTTCTCCTGGTCTTCCAGAAACCGGTGCATTTCCTGAAACTGGGCCACCATTTTCTGCCTCTCTGTTTCTGTTGATTTCTGCAAGACACAGGAAGAAAGAGGAAGAAAGGAGGCCAACATCAGGAATATAGCCCTTGGCAGCACAAAGAACTATATCAGAGATTTCTAAGGGACATCTCTCTTAATAGAGAAGTGAAATGACATGTGAGAGGAGAAAGGATTTACAAGGAGCTCACTTTTAGAGCCTGCCTTGAGCACTATTTTAAAGGAATTGTAAAATATAAATACGGACGTGGTGGTAGCGTGAGTTAAACTGCAGAAGCCTCTGTGCTGCAAGGTCGGAAGATCAGCAGTCGTAAGATCGAATCCACACGACGGAGTTAGCCCGTCGCTTGTCCCAGCTCCTGCCGACCTAGCAGTTCGAAAGCATGTAAAAATGCGAGTAGATAAATAGATAAAACCATGGTGGAAAGGTAAAGGCGTTCTGTGTAATGACCACGAGAAGTGTCTATGGACAAACACTGGCTCTACGGCTTGGAAACGGGGATGAGCACCACCCCCTAGAGTCAGACACGTCTGGACTAAATGTCAAGGGGAACCTTTACCTTTACCTTAAAATATAAATATAGTAAAAGAGGCTTTCATTAACCTTCATTACGATTCCAAATAATAGGTGAAGAGTAGGACTGTTCTGTGGCTCTTCATTCTTCTATATTTTGTATTTAGTTCTAATACAGACTCCCCTTATCAGCAACACAACCACTTACAAACAGATCTTGGCTTTCCTTTTCTGCATCCTCTTTCTGTGTCAGGATTTGCTCTCTCTTCTTCCTCAGGATGTCCAAGCGGCTAAAGATCAACTCCTAAAGAGAAAGCAAGAATTTGAGGTTAGATAGCAGAGAATGGGACTAGAGTAGTTAAGACGGTATTTTTGTTGTTTGTCATGCAGTCTAGTTTCTGGCAATAAGGCCAGCCCTTCTGTTAGGCAGAGTGGTTGCACATGCTTAAGAACAGACTGGCCAGCAGGTGATCAAAGATAGAGTAGGATGTGCCCATGGCGAACTCTGTACAGTGGTGCCTCGCTTAACGATTACCTCATTAAACGCTGAATCCACTTTACGATGAAGTTTTTGCGATCGCTATTGTGATCACAAAACGATGTTCCTATGGGGAAAATTTGCTTAACAATGATCAGTTCCCTGCTTCGGGAACCAATTTTTTGCTAGACGACGATTTTTAAACAGCTGATTGGCGGCTCTAAAATGGCCACTCGCTGTGCAAAATGGCTCCCCGCTGTGCTTTAGGACGGATTCCTCGCTTTACAGGCACCAGAAAATGGTCGGCCTATGGAGTGGGATTAGATCACAGAGAATGGGACTGGAGTAGTTAAGACTGTATTTTTGTTGTTTGTCATGCAGTGTAGTTTCTGGCAATAAGGCCAGCCCTTCTGTTAGGCAAAGTGGTTGCACATGCTAAAGAACAGAGTGGCCATCAGGTGATCAAAGGGATGTGATGGGTAACAGAATCCTTGTTCTATCATTTACATGCTGGTCAAGCGAGGCACCACTGTACTCTGCAAACAGTGCTATTGACGGTGTGATGAGTAACAGAATCCTTGTTCTATCATTTACATTTGATATAACTCACCCACTAGCTGGATTTTGTTTCTCAACTGATAAAGTGATATCATTTTGGTTTTTAGTCTCAAAACAGGCGGCCCTGCCTGAGTGGTTTCCTCAAAGACCTTATTCCACTGCACAATACAAACCGGTTACCCCACCTAGTCAAAGCTTGACAGGGCTGACCCAAGACTGTTTCTGGGCTCTGACATAATCGTGAATGCCATGCTCTCTCCAAGTGAAGGTGCAAAACAGCAAATTCTGGCTACATTTACATTGAGAAGAGAGAGGCATAAAATCCTACATATGTCTCTTCCCAGGAGTGAAAAATAACGAATAAACAATGTGCAGTTTAGTGTGGAGCCCCCACCCCAAATCAGCTGAGCAGAAAGCCTCACTCTGCTTATTTGCAGCTTGCAGTTAATAAGTTAAGATTCACCAAGGGAGGTTAGCAGGGTGTGAGAGACACCCTGATCACATACCTAAACTGTGTTTCATTTTAATTGCCTTTGTATAGTTCTTATACCTTGAAGCGAGTCAATACTTTAAAAAACTGTTATGGGATTCACGGCTTGGAAAGGCAGCTGTGAAATAACTAGAAAAAAAATCCTTAAATATAAGGATGTGTCACTGGAGACCAAGATCATCCATACAATGGTATTCTTGATTACTATGTAGAAATGTGAAAGCTAGACAGTGAAGAAAGCTGAATCCATGTATCATCCATCTATGTAGAAATGTGAAAGCTAAACAGTGAAGAAAGCTGATAAAGGAAAAAAAGAGATTGATTTGAAATATGGTGCTGGAGGAGGACAAAGAGAGATTGATTTGAAATATGGTGCTGGAGGAAAGCTTTGTGGGTGCCCTAGACTGCTAGAATGACCAACAAGTGGGTGCTAGGTCAAATCAAGCCTGAACACTCTCTGGAAGCAAAAACTACCAGACTGAGTACATTGTAAGAAGCAAAAATGACTACTTTTGAGTGCATTAAAAGATGACAACGCTCACAAGATAGGCTGTAAAACTAGTAAACTACCAGACTGAATACATCATAAGAAGCAAAAACGACTACTTTTGAGTGCATTAAAAGAAGAGAAGGCTCACAAGATAGGCTGTAAAACTAGTAAAAGCCTGCAGGAAAAGAGGAAGACCAAATACAAGATGGATTAACTCGATAAAGGAAGCCACAGCCTTCAATTCGCAAGACCTGGACTGGCATGTGAATGCTCAGACCTTCTAAGGTTCCCTGATTCACGGGGTTGCTGGAAGCTGAAAGTGTATAAAGTTCATGCTGTCATGTTGAGGAAGTATGCCAGAGCAAGGGACTAAGTTGCCATGATCTCCCCCAAAACAATACCGTATTTGGGGATCTCCCACTAGCGTCACAGCAGCAGCAGGTTAACAGGGCACAAAAGTGGGGCAGATCTATTTCTCTCCCATAGGCTTTCCAAAAAATCATCATCATAGCAAGTTACATAACAAAAACGATGCACGATACCTCTCCTACCCAAGTGGCCCGAAGACTTTCTTATATTTGTGAATGCAGATAAAACTTCTCAAGAAGCATCCGCAGTCAAGATCCACAGGGAACTCTCTTTTACCTTGTACTTGTGAGCAGCCTCCTCGAGAGGAACCAACTCGTGATCCCGGTGCTGGTCGGATTTCTCGCACATGGCACAGAGGGAGAGCGCTTCGTCTTTGCAGAAGAGCGTCAGGGGCGCCCGGTGCGTCTCGCAAACTTTCCCCTTTTCTCCCTCCCTAAGTTTCTTGGCTATTTCCACACAGGCTGCCAGCTGCCGGTTTGGCAAGAGGCAACTCTGCCGGGAGGGTTTCCGACACTGAGGGCACGAAGCCGCCTTATTCACACGATTCTTCTCCCAGGACTGGGTCAGGCAGGCTCGGCAGAAGTTGTGCCCGCAGCCTGTAATGATCACCGGATCCTCAAAATAATCCAGGCAGATCGGACAAGTGGCTTCCTCGCAGAGATCCTGGACGGGAGTCCCACTACCACCAGTAGCCATGACGGGTTGACCAGAAAAGACGGGAGTTAAGTTTCACTTTCGCTTCCTAGGCAGCTGCCAGTAAATGATTCATTCGGCATGAAGCAGTGAGGGGGAAAAGGTGGAGTGGATTTTAGGAACAGACTCATTCAAAAAAATAATAATAATTCCTGTGCACTTGGGGCTGAGCTGAGCCATTTGTGGACTGAGGCAGGTCAGCAAATGGAAAACAAACATGTTTTCAGGCCAATACACAGTGGCTGAAATTCTGTTGCTTAGCGTAGTCCTGTCACACTAATGCAGGCCCACAGAATCAGTGGGGATTTGGTGAGTTTTCTCCTCTGTAAGTTGCATTGATTTAAATGGATCTCTGTAAGTTGCACTGATTCAAACTTCAACTCACTATGCTCGAGCAGGTTAGAACAGATCCACTTGAATCAATGGATCAACTTAAAGAGTCGTCAACTCACCATATCCCCACTGATTCAGTGGGCTGACTCTAGTACCGCTTAGGATACTAAAACCACAGAATTTGAGCCAACAAGAATGTAAAAGGTGGAGCTATCAAGTTCTAACATATCCTGGATTTTGCTTATTTCCTTCCTTCCAATCCTTTTTAACTTGTATCATGTGGCTTTTAAATTGTATTCAGCCTTGAATGTTCTAATGTCATAGGAAGCCAAAATGGTAATTCATAAATTGTTCTATGTATCCAGAAAAATAAAATTTATAAATAGCAGTGAGGCTCTTTTATTTTACTTGGTTATTTATTTCAAATATTATTCCTTAAAGAAGTACCCAAGGTGGCTTACATCACTAAAATGCAGTATTTAAAACTAAAACAGTAAGAATACAAATGCTAAAAAGGAAACAAATTCCACTCTGATAAAAAGTAAATGAAAACAAACATTAAAAACACATTCAAAGAAGCAATGCGTAACAATCCATTAAAAAACCCAATCAAGAAGCCAGTCCCTGAAGGGAAGTAGGCTCCTAATAGGAAACACTTCCAGACCAGGAGACTGCTACACATGGCCTTAGAGCAGTGGTCCCCAACCTTCAGGATCCCTTCCAGACCAGGAGGCTGCTTACACATGGCCTTAGAGGATAATTTAATATGAGTGATTAAAAAAAAAAACTCAAGTAAATTTGCTTCAGGACTTGAATCTTTATTTTTCTGTATTATTTTTTTTTCAACAGTCCCTAATGAGGAATCTTACTGGATGTTGAAATGAATAATGTTTAACAGTCAACAGGCTTAGAGGATCATTTAATGAGTGATAAAATTAAAAAAACTCAAGTAAATTTGCTTCAAGACTTGAATCTTTATTTTTCTGTACAGTATTTTTTTCAACAGTCCCTAATGAGGAATCTTACTGGATGTTGAAATGAATAATGTTTAACAGTCAACAGGTATGTCAACTGAAGGATTTTTTAAAATATAAAAGACCGTTCAAATTGCTCTGTATAACTAAAACTTAAACCATTTAAAAACAGACTTTCAGACTATAAAATTCCATTTCAGGAACTGCCCCTTTTTCAACAACTCCTAACATGATAGCACAAAATGAGTTCTCAGAAGGGTAACACTGCCACTTTGTGACTAGTTGAAGTAGAACAGCAGCAGCTAAAAAAATGACAGTGACGTGTGTTACACTCCCCCACAACTTATACAACTGCAGCAATTTGACATGAATTGATTTTTAAAGAAGACTTCCTCTCAGATCTTTAGGAAAACAAACATTTCTTGTGTCTTCTGCTGCTTATCTGTATTTCCTTCACTGTATTTTAACAGATGTATGCTATATACACGCTAGCAAGGTTATGTTCAAAATCCTACAATGTAGGCTTCAGCAATATGTGGACCGAGAACTCCCAGAAGCACAAGCGGGATTCCGAAGGGGCAGAGGAACTCGAGCCCAAATTGCTAACCTGTGCTGGATTATGGAGAAAGCCAGAGAGTTCCAGAAAAAAAAATCTACTTCTGCTTCATTGACTGCGCAAAAGCCTTTGACTGTGTAGACCACAGCAAACTATGGCAAGTCCTTAAAGAAATGGGAGTGCCTGACCACCTTATCCGTCTCCTGAGAAATCTATATGTGGGACAGGAAGCAACAGTTAGAACTGGATATGGAACAACTGATTGGTTCAAAATTGGGAAAGGAGTACGACAAGGCTGTATAGTGTCCCCCAGCTTATTAAATTTATATGCAGAATACATCATGCGGAAGGCTGGACTGGAGGAATCCCAAACCGGAATTAAGATTGCGGGAAGAAATATCAACAACCTCCGATATGCAGATGATACCACTCTGATGGCCGAAAGTGAGGAGGAACTAAAGAACCTTGTAATGAGGGTGAAAGAGGAGAGTGCAAAAAATGGGCTGAAACTCAACATCAAAAAAACTAAGATCATGGCCACTGGTCCCATCACGTCCTGGCAAATAGAAGGGGAAGATATGGAGGCAGTTACATATTTTACTTTCTTGGGCTCCATAATCACTTCAGACGGAGACAGCAGCCATGAAATTAAAAGACGCCTGCTTCTTGGGAGGAAAGCGATGACAAACCTTGACAGCATTTTAAAAAGCACAGATATCACCTTGCCAACAAAAGTCCGAATAGTCAAAGCTATGGTTTTTCCTGTAGTGATGTATGGAAGTGAGAGCTGGACCATAAAGAAAGCTGACCGCCGAAGAATTGATGCCTTTGAATTGTGGTGCTGGAGGATGCTCTTGAGAGTCCCCTGGACTGCGAGGAGAACAAATCTATCAATTCTAAAGGAAATCAACCCGGAGTGCTCACTGGAAGGACAGATCCTGAAGCTGAGGCTCCAATACTTTGGCCATCTCATGAGAAGAGAGGACTCCCTGGAAAAGACCTTAATGTTGGGAAAGTGTGAAGGCAAGAGGAGAAGGGGACGACAGAGGATGAGATGGTTGGACAGTGTCACCGAAGCAATCAACATGAATCTGACCCAACTCCGGGAGGCAGTGGAAGATAGGAGGGCCTGGCATGCTCTGGTCCATGGGGTCACGAAGAGTCGGACACGATTAAACGAACAATGCTATATTATTCTCCAGATTTGTAACTGGTGATTCTACTTGTTTTCAAGCTGTGATTTTTAATTTTGTATTTTTATGGAGATTACCTAGCTTGTGATGCTAAAAGGAAGGTTAGGGTTTATTTATTTATTTATTTGATTTATATACCCTCCACTTTGGGAGGCTTACAACAGTAATAAAACCATAAAATAGCAAAATAATACAACTGAATGAATGAATAGACCAAATCTGTCTACAGACTCCTTAATATAGGACAGTGTCCATCTTCCATTAAACAATGGTTTTTGTTGTTGTTATATTACATGCTGAATTGCCCCCACCCCCACCCCGAATTATCAAGTGGCAGGTTGGGTGAAATCAGGGTGAGTAAAAACCAATGATTTAAACATTTTAAAATCTGATTTAAATCACAGATTAATTTTTTTAAAAAAATCATTTAAATTGATTTGCATCAAATCCAGTTTGGCTGAAATTCTCTGAGCAGGCATCCTTGGGAGTAATGATTTAATGGACAAACTGATTTGTCATATCAAGGACACCACAGAAGTGTAAGAGAATTCCATCTACCACCTGCCATTTTGCTGAGTGTATTCAACAGAATAAGCATTAAGTATCAGGTTGTCTTGAAGAAATACTGGAAATCCTCTTCCGTGTTCAGACGAGCATGTTGTCCTTTTGGCTCCCTTGACAATCTCTCCTCCTCATCCACAGCAAATAATGCAGGAAATGAAACGTTGATGTGACTCTTCCTGTTTACCCTTACTGCTCATTCAAGCGATGGAGTAACGGAGAGGAGCAAATTTTTGTGACACCAAAAAGGTAGTGAATTACACAACCACAGGAGTTAGAGGTGAAATTAACTCCATCCTGTTTTTTTCTAGGAACTGTAATATGTTACCAAAGTAACTTGCTAGAAGTAATGCATTACATTGAAGCTCTGCTCTAAACTCCATTACTACTCTCCCCAAGAGTGTTCACCAATGTGCCTAACACAAAGGAAATAATTATACTGTAGAAGAGATGTCTTAACTCTACATTTCCCTCAGTCTGCCAACTTGAGACCATTTAAAAAAAGTTCCAAGTCCCAGAGTTGTGAATAAAGCCTGTCAGAGAGAGGTTTTGCTTCTGCCTTAGCATGTTAAAGAGAAGGAAGGTGTTATTAAAGAGTTTTGCTCACCATTCCGGAGTGTGTCCTTATGCTGAGGCTTTTTTTTGCATTAGTTCGAGTGATAACGTGCCTGAATCAATTGATTCGTTTTTTAATAAAAAAAACAGAAGCTCCAGAAATGGAGGGGAAAGCTATGAATTTGGACAGGTCGGGGAGGGGAATCCAGACTGATTTGCACTTCCCTTTGTGTTGTGCGATCAATGGGAAAACATACAATTCACCCTGCTCCAAAATTGTAGTGTTCCCTGCATGTGGCTCCCAGCGTTGTTATACCCTAAGTCAGGACCTCCGAATGAGTGAGTGATTCTTAGGGCCTGTAACCAGAAACCTTTCTAGGGTGTGTCAGAGTAGAGAAACAATGGCCTTGTGACCAATTCATCTTTGATTTCTAGATTCCATCTTCTGTGAGGTCAGCTTCATCGGCTGGCCTTAAGGGGAGATTGTGAGGTTCCCTTATTTGAAGACATTAAAGAAGGGCAGAAAGGTCTCTCCCACAAATGAGGCTTCAGAGATGGGCTGCTGTGTCAGCATTGTAAAAGGCAACACTCCCAGCAGCACAATTTAGAGGCACTCGAATTCTCTCGAGGTCATCACTTGGAGCCAAATGAAAGGAATTAGGATGGCTGATAGCCCAAACTCCACCTCCCCACTTCCCTATAGCCAAGATACCTCCCTTAGGATTCCAGACTACAATGTCCTTTCTTTCCATGGACTCTCTGGTGACTCCTGCCAGCCACTCTTCCTGACTTCCCACAACAACTTCCCAGAAATGTCTGCCTTCCATGAATCTCGTTTCCAAACACAATAAAACTTTTGGCAAATCTCTTAGGGTTGTCAAGCAAATTTTGACTCCAGTCTCTGTATGTCGCACTTTTACAATCTTCAGAAACAATGAGTTGTGTGTGAGCTGTGTCTGGATCCAGGGTTACATTTGCTGCAGGGGAAGAGAGTTGAGAGGAAAAAGATAAGGAGCAATGTGAACTGAACCAACTGGCAAAGATGCTGACCCTAAGCATGCCAGGGGAATCAAACTCAAAATCAATAGGGCCTCCGAATACTGCAGGTTCGGGAGGGCCTTCTCCTTTTTTCCCAAATCTTTCTACAACAATATGCTGAACCTCTTAACTTACGTTCAAACTGTAAGTTAAGTCAAGATGTCTTGCTGACAGAAAACAGGTACAGTGGAACTTCTAGTTATGAACTTATTCCATATTGGAACGGTGGTCGTAAATTGAAACGTTCATAAGTAGAAGCACCATTTCCCATAGGAATGCATTGAAAACTGATTAATCCATTCCGGCCAGAGGAAAAAAAATACCAAAATATAAAAAATAAATAAAACACTGCAAGCCCCTGGGGCTAGAAAAAACAAAACAAATAAAAAACAAACATAACCCCAACAGCCCAATCCCACCCTCAAATCCCTTAGTGTTGTTTTTAAAGTGAGGTAAGTGAGGTAAGGCATATTCACTGTTCTGATATGCACTTAATTTTTTTTTCGCTTGAAGGAGTGAAGGGTGTGCTTAATCTGCCTATATTGTGAAATGGCTCTCTTGTTAGGACCCTTCACAACGTGGGAAAATTACAGCTGGCTGCTGCACACCAAATAGGGTCATTTGAGGTCCGTATGACCTTTGGATTTGAGGATCACAGCAAACGGCATGCTGGCCCTCTTAGAGACCACTTTTTACCCCAATCTAGCCTACTTCAATTATAAGGTGCAAACCCTCTGTTGACCTTAGTTTTCGCCTTGGGTCACGGGGATGCAGTATCAATACTCAGAGTAAGGCCCCCATATCAGTCTGGTTCAGAACATTGACAATAAGAGAAGACAAAATATTGTGGCACCTTAAAAGGTTTTGTGGATCAACACGTACTTCCTCAGACCCAGACTCTCCTCTGCCTTCCCTCCTGTTGCTCTTAAAACTTCACGTTTTCCTCATTTTTTTTCATTTTTAGATTTGACTGCTGTGCTGTTTGTGAAAGGGATAACATGTAAAAAGCGGAATAAAAGAACAACTCATATTCCAAGATAGCTAAAGAGGAGGAGGAGCAAGGCGTGGAGAGCTGGAGAGCGACCAGCAGGAACACCCTCATAAAGAAAGGTCGTCAGATGACACCCACCTCCAAGGCCTCCGGACCAGGACGGAGGAATGGCATCTGAGGGTCCCCCTGAGCAGATCCTGCACTGGAGCAAACTACAGGGAAGCCGAAGAAAACTATACCGCCACCTAGCAGTGGGGTTAAAAAGGTTAGAAAATCCAAAAGCAAACATATTCCTATTTTTTTTTCATTTTCAGATTTCACTGCTGTGCTGTGTGCGAAAGAGATAACGTGTAAAAAGCAGAATAAAAGAACAACTCATATTCCAAGATAGCTAACGAGGAGGAGGAGCAAGGCGTGGGGAGCTGGAGAGCGACCAGCAGGAACACCCTCATAAAGAAAGGTCGTCAGATGACACCCACCTACAAGGCCTCTGGACCAGGATGAAAGAATGGAATCTGAAGGTCCACCTGAGCAGATCCTGCACTGGAGTAAATTACAGGGAAGCCGAAGAAAACTATACCGCCACCCAGCAGTGGTGTTAAAAAGGTTAGAAAATCCAAAAGCAGCTCTGACTCTGTTAACACGAGTTTCAGGCCTGTGTCAAGTGGAAACAGGAATAGGGGTGCAAGGTGAGCTGAACGAAGGCTCAGTGTGGAGAGATCGCACCCCCCAAATAAGCAAAACTGTTAAATGTTCAAAGTGCGACAATATGTTTTCTGTCTTTCTGCATTTGGGCAATATTCCTTCCCAGTATCTCTGTTGGAGTGTCTTCTGCATACTGTGCAGAGCAATCCACGGTCCTGCTCTGGAGGAGCCTCTCTCTACTGAGCAGCTGAAGAAAGCGCGAGCAACGGATTTGAAGGCTCTTGGTGGGACCAGCAATCGCTTTAGCTCTTGCTTGTCTAAAGAGCCTCAAACCAAGAGGCACCCCCTCCCTTCCACAGATGTAGGGAGCCATGAGAAACATACCTTTTCAGAGTAGAGATCCAGATAAAACAGTACTATCTGTGAAAGCAAAGAAGAAAGTACAAATCAAGCAGCAGAGCCTCTAATACACAAACATATCCTCCCACAAACATATCTGGGCTGTATTTATTTCCATTAATATTTAGAACTTTTAATTCAGTGCCTGCTCTTATGAACAAAGCTAAGAGGCTTCATGGCATCTGCAGATAAAGCTGAGGAAAGAGGACATATTTGGTCCCTCGTTCTGCTGTTTAAAAGAGCAGCTGACTCCCTCCCATTAGTTCTGATGACCATTTCATGACCCATGTCTAGCCAATTTAGTAGTTTGAGAAAAGTTTCCCCTATCCCCATTGTTTCACCCACCTTGAAAATAAAACACCGTACTATTCTGTCAGAGGCCAATGGCATTGGGGTTTGATTTGTTACACAAGAAATGCCGTACAGTATGATGCTGAAGAAAGTCTCCTGATCGGGTTTATCATCTACCCAACCCCTTAAAAAGCCAGTGTTCCTCTCCAATTAATTTATTATTTAAGAGCCAACAGAATGATGGGCTGATAGGAATCTGGGTATCCTTGTTTTTTTATGAATGCAGAACATCTCCTGCCATATGCTGTAAGCCAGGGGTGGGTCCCCTTTAAGGAGTTGTATAGGACGAAGACTAATAGCCACAGCTGACTTTTGAATAGCTTATAAATCATACCAAGAAATGATCAAGTCTCACAGGGTTGACATTGTAGGTTTACACAATATAGTTAACGTCTGGTTTCCTATGAGTGAGACATTTCATAAAGTGATCTTGAAAATGCTACTAGGAAGAGATTGAATTCCCTTCTAATTGAAAGAAAAGATGGTGAGAAAACATTGCTTGGCATTTGTTGATTCCAGAAAAGGGACCCATTGGTACTTAATTCATTCAGGATGGTGAGCAGTGAACTGGCCATTGCATGTGTCTGATATCAATCTCCAGGGTGCAGAAAACTGAAAAAGACTCCAGGAACCTTTAGAGGGAGTTACTCAAACTGGGC